AAAAGCTCGTTCGCTCACTCGCTTGGCTTCAGTTTATTTTAATCTGCATTTTGACTTCTCAAGCCTCCACGATCTCAACAGAAGCAAAAAAAAAACCTGCTTTTGTTTTCTCTTTGCTTTTCTTTCCTGCGAATTACGTCGTGGCTGGATTAACGGGACGTTCCCCAGAGAGCAAGAGAGACAGAAAACGATGTCATAATTGTAGCCAAAAACAATCTATGTGATCTTCTGTAGAGATTCCTGTAAGAGTCTCTTATTATAATTTCCTTTCCCTCCCAACCCTCCAAAGCCAGTGGCTTCCTGAGAGAGTTTAGGATTGTAATAATCCTTGCCTTTGACGTAGCGTCTTATCACGTCGGACGGACGGCTCAAAGCGCTTCACGCGATTTACTGTGAAATGAAGTGACTGTGTATTTGTAGGCAAACGCAGTAGCGGTGACCCATCAACAGCCATGAGACGAGTGAGCAGTTTTATTTGGGGGATTGTTGGTCAGGACACCGAGGGAGAGAGAAACTCTCTTCTCTTTTCCGATAGCATCTTTAATACCCACCTGTACAGGCACAGTCAGGACCTCGGTTTAATGTCTCATCTGAAGGACGAGTGGGCATTGCTTTAACAAGAAACCTCTGCGGCTTCAAAAACTTTGTGGGGCTTATGTGTTATTCTAAGATTTTCTCTCTCTGTCACACTCTGTCTCTCTGTGTCTCTCTGTTTTTCTCTCTCTGTCTTTTTCTCTATCTCTCTGTCCCTCTCTTTAACTTTCTCTGCCCCCCCCACCCCTCTCTCTGTCTCTCTTTGAATCATTGTATTACCCACCGCTTCCTCACTCCCCTTCCCTCCCTACCTTCTCTCCCTGGCCATTCAACCCATCTGTGGCTGATTACTGTCTGTGAGAGAGTTTGCAGGTGGACCACATGACATCAGGGAATATTAGCGTCTGGCAGCCTTCAGGTTAAACTGAATAAATCTCCCCTCAAAACACAAACTGATCTGCTTTACAAGCAGGCTGGTGCGGAGTATAACCGGGGCACGGGCATTTTGGCCCAAAATGGCCTATTTTCATGCAACCAGCGTAATAATAAAATAATAATAATCCTTGCATTTGATATAGCTCCTTATCACAACTTCGAGACGTCTCAAAGCGCTTCACAGGATACGCTGTAAAGCGAATTGACTGTATATTTTGTGGGCGAAACGCGGCAGCCAATTGCGCACGACAGCGTTCCACAAACAGTTGTGGATTGAAGCGACCGATTTTATTGTTTTTTTTTACTTGAGGGATTATTATGAGGCGTGTGGAGTAAGGTAACTTGTCTGAGGTTTTACCCCCTACCGGGAATCGAACCCAGGTCTCTCGCTTGCGAGGCGAGTGCTCTAACCACCGAGCTACAGGATTCCACAGGGTAACCCTAGCAACGTGCGCTGGATTCCTCCTGTAGAAAAGTGTGTGTGTGTATGTGTGAGGAGAGGGTTATCGCTATGTATTATATACGTTATGTTATCTCTGCCTTGCCCCCTCCTTCCCCATCTTCAGGTCATGCCTTATACAGCGCCCCTTCACGCGGGGTAGCGTCCCGGAGCACTTGACAGTGCCGGGGTCTGACCCCCGAGTCAGGGGGGAGAGGGAGTGTGGGGGGACCTGTGACCGTAAGAACGATCAGAAAGGAAAGTCTTTAGGTGGGATTTGAAAGTGGGGAGGGAGGGAGGGAGGGAGGGAGGGGGCAAGGCGGAGGGATTGAGGGGGAGAGCGACAAGAGTTTCGGGGCGTAGTGGCCGAAGACATGGCCCGCTAATGGGGATCACACAAGGTTATGTGGCTGGTCTCACGGCTGAGTCACACTTTAACGGAACATGGAAAAGGCAGCTTGCAGCAGGAAGCAGTCTTTAAGCTTCCTGGCAGCCGACGCTAGTTACAGGCTCCGCTCGTCGCTGTCGACCAAGTAAATTGTGTGAGAAACGCACCCATGTGCTGGCGTGTGTATCCGTGACCCTCTGCAAACCCTCGACTGATCCATGGCATTTTACACTGGCAGCTGTCTGGCTGAGCTCACGTGTACAGTGTTGCTCTGCTCCATGCTGTTAGCCTGGCGCAGTGTAGCGCTCTCTCTCTCTCTCGCCTCCGAAGAAGATTGTGGGTTCAAACCCCCATTCCCCCCCCCCCCCCGACGTCGGGACTCGAATCACGTGGTCTAAGCTGACGCTCCAGTACAGCACGGGGGGGGGTGGGGGGGGAGAGCGCACCCGGCTGCCTCTTCAGGTGGACGTTAAAGATCCCGCGGCTCTATTCAAAAAGAGAAGGGAGTTTCTCTCCCTCTCTCTCCCTCTCTCTCCCGGTGTCCTGACCAACAATCTCCCCTAAGTCATATCGGTCGCTCCCTCCAGGGCTGTTTGTGGGATGTTGCGGAGCTCAGTTGCATTGCCGCATTTGTCTAAAAACACACACTCTACAGTATACCCCGTGAAGAGCTTTGAGACGCCTCACCCAACGTGAGAAGGATCTGTATCAAATGCAAGGCTTATTATTATTACTGTGCCCAGCATTGCAGTGTGCCCTGTGTGTTGTGCCCTTTGATGTGTGCCCTGTGTTGTGTGTTGTGTGCCCTGCGCTGTGTGCCCTGTGCCGTGTGCCCTGTGCTGTGTGCCCTGTGCTGTGTGCCCTTTGCTGTGTGCCCTGCGGTGTATAGCCTGTGCCATGTGCCCTGTGCCGTGTGCCCTGTGCCCTGCTGACATGAGCGCATCAGCTCATTATTCCTCGGCTTAACACAGCGCAATGGAAAGTTGGAATCGTCAAGCGGATCTTTCTGCTCATTCCCAGCGAAGCCCACTTTATAGGAACATCTGTTATAACATCCTGTTCCTAAAAGACTGGACTCGAGAGAGAGAGAGAGAGAGAGAGAGGGTTTCTTTTCTTTCCATCAAACTTGCACGTCAGTCATTGCCGCGAGACGGACTTTGTGGTGAAATGACGTGATTCCGAGCCAGTTTTGGAGAGCGAACGAGCGAGCGAGAGAGCGAGCGTGCAAGTTTTCTGACGCATCTCTCATTTTTTTTGGGTGGTGGTGGTGGTTCTTTCTGGAAACAATTTGAATCAGTAGTTAATTGACTTTAAATGCTTCATCTCCCCCCACATCCTCCAAATCCCTTCCCCCCCCCCCCCAACCAGGCCGCAAGAGTTCTCTTTAAATTGCTTCGCGGGTGAGTGGGAGTCCGGGAGTCGGGTGGGTGGTGGCAACCGATCGTCGACTTGGGAGAAAGTGACATCAATTTTTTTGTGCTGGGAGCTGTTTGTGGTTTCGACTGCGTCTCGGAGCTGTAATTGGATGATGCTTGAAAACACAAACACATCAAACCTGACTCCTTCATGTCGCTGATTAAAGGGAATGAATCAAAACTGATTTTCTCTCAAGTTAATGTTGTTCCAAGAAACGCTTTGGAGATGATTGTCCTAAACCACTGGCGCTTCTAACCTCTGGAACTCCCTGCCTTTAACCTCCACCCGCCCACTCCACCACCACCACCACCACCACACACAAACAGTCACTGAACCTCCAAAATACACACACACATGTATACACACATTGGCACTGAGCGCCCGATTACATACACACCTGCACACACACAGGCACTGAGCTCCCAACACACACACAACACACACACACACACAGACACACACACACAATCACTGAGCTCCCAACACACACACACACACACCACACACACAGACACGCACATGCACTGAGCTCCCAACACACATACACACAATCACTGAGCTCCCAACACACACACGGACACACACGGACACACACATGCACTGAGCTCCCAACACACACACACACACAGGCACTGATGTTAAGTGGGTGGGTGGGTAGGCGATTGATAACCTGGACACCGGGGGAGAGAGAGAGAGAGTTTTCTGGGGCTTGGGGGGGCTAACGTCTGCGCTCTGCTCACCTTGCGGTGCAAGGTGTTTAACTCCCAGGTGAGCAGAGCGCAGGCATTAGCACACCCCCCACCCAAAAAAAACACCAGAAAACACCTCCAGCCCAGTTGCTCTGGTAGAACAGGCAAAAGTTTGCTGAGCTGAGGGAAAGCAGTGAGGCAGGAAAGTGCTTCAAGAAGCAGAATGTGATGTGTCGTTTGGCTCCGGCTGCAGGACCGAGTGTCTGGCCTTTCTCCATCCCTAATGCTGTTTTACCAGCAGTGAAGTAAGCGGCTGATGTATTAGCCCTGACTCTGACCCGCTCTCGCCTGTGGGTATGTGTGTGTGTCTGTGTGTCCGCTCTGCACAATGTCTCAGTCCTCAGGCTCTTTTTTGCTCAGAGAGATCCCCTCCCCCTCTCCCCAAGCCCTCCCCCGCCCACCCCCCCCCCACCCCCCACCACCACCCCTAGTTTGTGGCTTGGTTTCCAAAAAAATACCCTTACCCTGTTCAGTCTTCTCGCATTATATAATACTAATCCTTGCATTTGGTAGAGCGCCTTATCACATCGTTGAGACGTCTCAAAGCGCTTCACAGGATATACCGTAAAGCGGAGTGACTGTGTTTTGTGGGCGAAACGCAGCAGCCAATTGCGCACAGCGATGTCCCACAAACAGTCGTGGATTGAGTGACCAAGTTACTATTTTTTCGAAGAGATTATTAACCCCCGGAAAGCGATCCACCAATCGACTAACAAGCGGGTTCCTACTTACTGCGGAGTAAACAGATGCGTGTGGTGTAAGGAAACTTGCCTAAGGTTTCGCCCTGACCCGGGAATTCAAATCAGGTCCTCTCACTTGCGAGGCGAACGCTCTAACCACTGAGCTAACAGGACTCCACTCCATTTGGCCACAGGTTGGCGTACGAGATGCCTCATCACTGTTCTTGTCTGCGATATCCCTGGGGGGTGGTGTGGGGAGAGGGGAAGTGGGGGCTTTGAGACATGCCGTGCTCCCGATGCTGCCCGTTGGTTGTCCCCACGACGCGGTTGGTAATTCGCCTGCTCTCTTACCTTTGCAGCTGGTGAGTCGCAAGGACAAGGCTACTTTTGAGAAGCTGAACTACTTGGTCAGTAAAGAGGAGAACTACAGCCGGCTGCGAGAGTACATCGCCAGCCTCCGCATGGTCCCCTGCATCCCCTACCTGGGTAAGTTATCTGCTCCCTCTTCACGGCCCGTGGAATCAGCACGGAAGCCGGGGCATGTGTTGTTGAGGGGCTTCGTGGGCCTGAGCTGGGAGGGGGTGGGGGTGGAAAGTTGGCTGTTCCATGTTCTACTAAAACGGCGCTCAGTTGCCAGACCAGCCGTATAACCTTGTGTCATCCTCTCCGCTCCACCACCGGCGGCCACGCATCCAGCCACTGCGCCCCAAAACTCTGGAACTCTCCCTCGATCCCTCCGCCTTGCCCCCTTCCTCTCCACTTTCAAAGTGGGGGGGTGGGGTGGGGGGTGGGTGGTGCAGGGAGGAGTAGGTGTGGGGCAAAATGCTTCTTTGCTAGACAGGGGGGTCCCCAGCGGAGAGTTCCCAAGTGTCAGCTGGGCTCTGCTGATCACCAGCGCCTTGCAACGACTCCGCAGTTTAGCCCCCGATGGTTGACTTTGCTATTGTTCAGAAAGCACGGTCGTTACCCCCCGTCTGTCTTTTTTTTGGGGGTGGTGGTGGGGAATTGGCTTGGCGAAGCAATGGGTTGGCGTAACTTTGGTGTTGGCATAGCCGTGGCATGACGTTCTCAGGGTATCGGTGTGCCATCGGGCGCGGCTGCCACAGTTGGATATGGAGGAATTCAATGGGTGATCCTCAGGTTTGGTGTTCAACAAACTTATCAGCAAAGCGAGTCGCGTTTCGGGGGCAAAGATTCCTTCCATCCGGCATCGGCCGTTGGCTGGCCAGCGCGGTGAACAGTGAGGGGTGGGGGGGGTGGTCCCCGCTAGTGGCTCTCTCGACCCCCACCCTTGCCCCCCAGTGACATTGAGAATTATAGAATTACTCTCTCCATCTGCAGTGGCCTGTAAACCAGTGATTTATTTTCCTCTCCTCTCCTTCCCCCACCCTGAGACAGTCATACACACGCGCACATACACATGCCAACCTCCCCCCCACCCCTCCACCCAACCCCGCACAGCTGGGAGCTTGTCTCTGTGTAAGACCAGGGTTTAGTTTTCCTGACTATCCAGTTAATGGCTCTCATTTCCTTCACATTTGCTGACTGGCGTCTCGGTCTGGGGACGATTCAGTCGGTATCAGGTTCCCAGGGAGGTGGGTGGGGGGGACGGGGGACGGGGAATGGGGGGAGAGAGTGGATGTGAGTGTGGGGAGGGAGGGGGGAGATTTTATTGTGTAATAAACTGTCATTTACGAGGAGCTGATGGATTGAGAACAGCACACGTACGTGTGTGTAACAGCTGTAAAGCACGGTGTTTAAGAATCTTGCAGCCACTTGAGGCTTGTAAGCTTGATTCATTTCAGTGTGAGGAAGGCAGAGAGCTGTGTAAGCACCTCGGGTTAACATGAGGACACTGTTCAGGGCAGTGCATTTGTTCCCCCTGTCACACACCTGACTGATTCTCCATCACTGCTGTCTACGTCACATCTACAGCACTGCGCACGGTGCAGTCCTGTAGCGCAGTCGTTAGCGAGCTCGCCTCGCAAGCGAGAGGAACCAGGTTCGAATCCCGGGCAGGCAGGGCGAAACCTTCGGCAAGTTTCCTTACTCCACACGCACGCACACACACACACGCCTCTGTTTACCCAGCAGTAAATAGGAACCCGGTTGTTAGTCGATTGGTGGATCGCCTTTTGGGGGTAATAACCCCGTCAAAAAAATTGGTGACTCAACCCACGACTGTTCGTGGGGACGCTGCTGTGCCCAATTGGCTGCTGCGTTTTGCCCACAAAATACACAGTATTTTACAGTACAGTCTGTGAAGCGCTTTGAGACGTGATAAGCCGCCGTGTCAAATGCAAGGCTGGTTATTGTTGTTGGTAGCTATTTTCTGTGACCAATTTCATCCCTTCAACAGCGAGCGTCAGGCGTCTGCAGCTGATTGTACATTTTTGCCTGTTTCTGGCTCTCGATGTAACCTCAGCCCTGCCTGACCTGCTGGTGGGTGGTGGGGGGGTAGAGAGGGGGGGGCAGCAAAGTCTCCCGTCCCACTACAGACTGACTCATTCCTTGCTGAAGCTCCCGGCTGGCTGTGTTTACTTCTTTGGAAGTCGCTCTGATTTGACCCGTGGGAAAAACGATCTTCTGTGCAGCCATTTCCCGTTAGGGTTCAACTCGGTTTCAGGTCAGTGACCGAGGCAGGAAGGGAACCATCACAAATAACAACACATAAATAATTGGGTTTACACAGCGCCTTTCATGTCGGGAGGACAGTGAAGGGTTTGCACCCCGAGCAGGAGGATAGGAGTCAAGGGGATGACCAAAGGTTTGGTCAAAGAGGAAGATGTTGAGACGGACCTTGAAGGAAGCGAGGGAGTACAGGAATAACATCATCATAATAATAAATAATAATAATAATGTGCTAATGTAGCCCAGGGATAGCCGCTGCAGGGTTAAGGGCTGGAGATCAGTGCCAGTCGCTGTTTTTATGATGACCCTGTGTGAGCAGTTGCCACATTTACCCACAAACAAACACTGGGTGTCTTGACACACGTAGAAACCCATCACCGATGCTTAAGAGTCTCCAAACCCAACTGAGATTTCCGTGCATCCCAACTACACCTGGAAATCCCAGAGATAGATGGTTGGAATGGAATGCGCTCTCTCTCTCTCGCTCTTGCTCTCGCTCTCGCTGGAGGGATGCACTAGGCATAGGTTGGCGAGAGCCAAGGCTTGGGGAGTGGCAAACGCAGTCACCATCACACTTACAGTGATTATTTCTTACGCTCATTTGACACAGCTGCGAAAGGGCATGTTCTTTACTTTAACGGCCCTAAACTTCTGTTGGATTGGCTGCTGCCTTTCAGATAAGTGCGCCACGGGAGGAAAAGAGAGAGAGAAAGAGAGAGAGAAAAAGAGAGAAAGAGAGAGAGAGAGAAAGAAAGAAAGAAAGAAAGAAAGAAAGAAGAATGACAGAGAGAGAAAGAAAGAGGGAGAGAAGAAGAAAGAGAGAGAGAGAAAGACAGAGAAAGAAAGAGAGAGAGAAAACCGATAAAAAGGAAAGAGAGAGAGAGGAAGGAAGGAAGGAGGGAGATGGACATCAAAGGTAACCTGATCAGGACTTGAGAGAAGGACAGGGAATTGAAGGCTGTGTCTCCTTAAATGAAATTGCCGAGGCCCGGGTGCCCCTGACCTGTCGCTGTGAGACACACTGTGGAGCGGGCAGGCAGACTGGCATGGGGTTACCACTGCACCGTGGCTGTCTGTAACCGCCTGCCCGCCACTCAGGCGCTCTCTCTCCCAGACACAGGAGCGAATGATTCCTTGGCTGTGAGTTTGGTGATTGATAGGAGTCAAGGGTCTGTCTGTCTGCCCCAGACCCTCCCTCCGGTGGGAAATCCAGGAGAGCGCAACGCCATTAAAATGCTTAACCGTTGACCTTCCCCATTTCCAACTCCCCGGGTAGGGAGCGAGGGGGTGGGGGAGGGGGAGAGAGTGAGGGAGTTGGGGGCTGCCTGTTGCTGCCTGGATGGAGATGGGGAAAATAAAGACTGGTTTTGTTGCACAAACTGAGAGCAGAAACATCTGGTTATGTCTGGATGTTGTGGGGCTGCTTCCTTGCCCCGGTGCCCTGCTCCTTTTTTAATGTAGCCTCGACGTTAATAACTCTACACTTTCAACTGCACGTCTGTTCCCAATTTTGGGAGGGGGGAGGTGGGGAGGGGAGAGAGGGGGGAATCAGCATGTCTCTGGGGTGTCTGGCAGCTGCCAGCAGGGTAAGGTGGCAGAGGTTGGGGGCGGGCGGGCGGGGGGGGAGGGGGAAGGGGGAGAAACAGTGTCTCTTATAGAATTCGGATTCAAGACCGGTCCTTCGGATGAGACGTTACAGGAGCTCCCGCCTGCCTGTTCGGGTGGACGTTAAAGATCCCGCGGCGCTGTTCGCAAAGAGAAGGGAATTTCTCTCCCTCGTTGTCCCGACCGACAATTCTCCCCCCGAATAATATTTGGTCACTCGCTCCGCGACTGCTCGTGGGTGACTGCTGCGTGCAAAACTGGCCGCCGCGTTTGACCCACAAACGACACCATCCCCGCACTTTACGGTGTATCCCGTGAAGCGCTTTGAGATGTCTCGACGACGCGATCAGGCGCTGTGTCAAATGCAAGGATTATTATTATTATTATTATGAATTGTCTTGGGTTTGCTTCTCAAATGGCATCCAGCATCTCGCGCACCTCCATTTCGAGCTGTCTGTGGGTTTGAGGTTAAGGAGCCCCATGTTGTCTAGTTGTTCCTCATCCCAATGACTCGCTCTCCGCTCCCCAGAGTCTGGGTGGTGTCTTGATTAAGGTCAGGTCACAGCTGTATCTCGGTACATTTTTCTGAACTCCAACCTTTGATCCCGAGCGCAAGGAGTCGGCTGCATTTGAAGAACGTGAACAAATGTATAAATGGCCTCCTCTCAGCCTCCGAGGAGAACTCGCTCCTTCTTTTGGCTTTTGTTGCCTGAAATATTTCCTCGATGAGATCTTTCAGTGTGTTCCGTGCTTCTCTCTCTCTCCCTAAATGTCAGCACTAAACTTACACCCTGACACACACGCACACCCACACCCACACACACACACACACAGCCAGGGTTCGGTGCGAGAGCAGAAACTCTTTTATAAATAGCGCACAGACGGACTCCTGAAGCAGCAGTGTATTTTGCCTCTCTAAAATGTGGCTTACGAACAAATCAACAACGAAACAACTTGGATTTATGTCGCTCCCCCACATGCAGAGTGGTGTCCCAGAGCTTTTGGAATATGTTAGAAAGGCTTTTAAATTCCAACAGCTCCTTCCATATTTGTGTGTGGGGTTAATTTTCTCCCCCACTCCTCACCCCCCCCCACAACCCCCATTACATCTTGACCTTTAAATTCTGCACAACAGCCTGGGATTTCCCACTGCTCTCTTTCTCGCTCTCTCTCTCTCTCTCTTTCTTTCTCTCTCTCTCTCTCTCTCTCTTTCTTTCTCTCTCTCTCTCTCTCTCTTTCTTGCCATCACTGAAATTTAAGGTTGCAGCAGAATAGCGGAGAATTCTCACAGTTTCTGCTTTGACTTGGAAACTGGTTTCTTTTTGAAAAAAAACGCTACCAAGGCTGATGCCAGCCAGACTGTTTATCTTTCTTTTTTTCCTTTCTCCCCTTTTCTCTCTCTCTCTCTCTCTCTCGCTCCTGTTTTTCTTCCTCTCTCTCTCTCTCTCTCTCTCTTCCCTCCCACCCGCCCCCCCCCACTTTCTCTCTCTCCTCTCTGACTCCCTTTTTCTCTCTGTCTCTCTTTCAGTCTCTATCTCCCCCTTTCTCTTTCTGACTCTTTCATTTGCTCATTCCCCCTTTCTCGTTCTCCCTGATTTTCTCTCTTTCTGACACTCTCTCTCCCTCTCCCTCTCTCTCTCCCTCTCTCTCTCTCTCCCTCCCTCTCTCTCTCTCTCTCTCTCCCCCTCCCATTCTCTCTGACTCTTCCTTCCTCTTTACTCTCTCTCTCTTCTTTAAGCGCTCTGGGACGCTGACTGCGTGAAGGACACTGTATAAATGCGTTGTTGGTGTTGTCATTTGTAACCCTCTCTCTTTCTAACTTTCTCACTCTCTCTCTCTCTCTCCGTGGAGAAGCAGAGTAGGATTGTGAGCGATGCCTCTGATCATGGTGTCATCTCCAGAGTGTCTGCTCGTCTGTCTCTCTCTCTCTGTCTCTGTCTCTTTCACACACACAGACGCACTCTCTCTGTCACACCGCAGGCAAATTGTAACAACGTGTGCAGGAAGCATCAAAGGCTTCCACAAGTCGTTTGCCTGAGCTCCCGACAATTATTTCTCCTTCTTCCGCCGCTTAAAAATCCGCAGAGAATTCCCGGCCGTGATCCTCGATAAAACAGAAGGCAAGTGTCTGCCGACTGACGATCCCAGAATGACTTTAAAATGCAAGGATTATTCTTTTTTAGGTAATAATCTCATTTTGTACAGCAGTTTATCAGCATAATAACCCTTGCGTTTGATACAGAGCCTTAGCACGTCTTCAAAACGTCTCAAAGCGCTTCACAGAGTATACTGTAAAGTATTAGGGTTAGGGTTAGAGTGACTGTTTATTTTGTGAGCGAAATGCAGCAGCCAATTGCGCACAGCAGCGCCCCACAAAGAGTCGTGGATTGAGCGACCACATTTTTTGGAGGGATTATTACCCCCGGAAAAGCGATCCACCCATCGACCAACCACCGGGTTCCTACTTACTGCGGGATAAACAGGTGTGTGGAGGAAGGAAACTTGCCCAATGTTTCATCTCGCCTGGGAATCGATCATACCCAGGTCCTCTCGCTTGCAAGGCGAGCGCACTAACCACTACGCTACGGGACTTATCTCGTCATTGAGACGTCTCAAAGCAATTTTACTGCAGAGTGTAGTGACTGTGTATTTTGTAGGCGAACGGTCGAAGAGGAAGGTCTTCAGGCACGACCTGAAGGATGGGGAAGGAAAGAGGCGAGATGGAGGGATAGAGAGAGAGTATTCCAAAGTTTCGGTGGGTAGTGGCTGAGAGCAAATACAAGCCAGGGTTTAATCAGGACGGCAGCCAATTTCTCATAGCAACAACCTACAAATAGCACAGGCACAGATTTCAATCCAATGCCTTAAATTATTGTAGTTCAATATTGTGCAACTAATCCACTGCTAATTTCTCCCTCCTACCTTGACTTACCAAGCATCTTACCTCTCGTTTGAATGCATTTTGTGTGTGTACATAAGCCAGCGGACGGACATTATATTTTAAATATAAGTTTATTGCAGCAGTTAAAAGATTACACTCGACTTTTGTTTCCCAAGACGATGTTTACAAAGAATCTCAAAACCAAGACACTTTCCTTGAATGCAGTTTCAGGATTATTATCATTATTATTAATTTTTTTTTGTGTTGTAAATCTACAATGAAGGCTCAAAACTGGAAAGACAACGTGTATTTTACATCCTGTTACAGTGGATTGTAGAGATCCCAGGAGAGATGTACAGAGAAATGATGATAAAATACCGTAACTATAAATAACAAGGGTGTGTGACACTTAAACATCCGCTTTCCCTCCATCTCCCCCTCCCCATCACACAACACTTATTGGTTTGTTTTTAAGGCTATAACAACAACAAATTACACTTGTATAGCGCCTTTCACGTCGGGAGGACGTCCCAAGGCATTGGAAAGGGGCTATACTTATTCACTTGGGGAAAGACTGAACGATATATGTATATGTGTAAATGGACATAGAACTGGGAGCTGGTATACAAACACACCCGCAAAACACCCCACACACACGCACACACGCGCACTCTCTACCGCCATCTCGAGTTCCCTTTCACTAAAGCCACTGTGATAGTTCGATATTTATTCCTCGCCCTGAGTTATGAAAGAGATGCGGTCGAACTCTTTTGAGTGTTGACGCGATTTTTTGCCCCTCACGGTGTAACCCCGCTTCCAAACAAATATAAAGACGGGACCATTTTGCTTCTCTTCTATATCCCCTGTCCCACCCCCCCCCCCACCCACCCCGCCCCCCACACACCTTCGTTCTCCCACGACGCCCCTCTTTACTGGTTGTGCAGACTTAGCTGGGTTCTTTACGCAATGGGTTTCAGACGGTCTATTCAGAAGGTTTAATCAGGATGGACAAGCCAGTGAGTGTTCATTCAAGCTTATTATTATTACTTTTGATTAACAAATACAATGGCTGACACATTGGAAGCACTTGGGACCAGGCGAATGTTACAGCCAAGAGACAGAGAGAGAGATAGAGAAAGAGAGAGAGAGAGAAATCCTGTGGAAATGCTCAGAACTAACCACTCTTGTACACTGAGTCAGTGCACATAGATGGGTCAGATCTCATTCCCTGCGTCGCGATTATACAAACAGAACACGTTAGTTGGTGTAATCCACACTCCCCCCGCCTCCCCCACACACACAACAACAACAACTTGCATTTATACAGCACCCCTTGCCAAGTCAGGGGGGGAGGTGACCGTAGGCACGGTCGAAGAGGAAGGTCTTCAGGCGCGAGATGGGGATGGAAAGGGGGTGAGACGGAGGGGTAGAAAAAGGGCCTTCCAAAGTTTCGGGGGTAGAGAGCTGAGAGCAAATACACGCGCGCACAAACACACCACACCCTCCCCAGCTTCAGACGCACAATGCCCCAACCTTTCGCTACCTGTTTCGGGGTTGGGGGGGGGGGGTGGAAGTGGGGGGGTGTTGGGCTGATGGCTTTAATGGGAATTGGTAGCCAGAGCCACTACACTGCTTGCTTTTCTGCTTCCAATCCCCCCCACCCAGTCATCTATAAAAGTGCCACCAGCTGTTCCTCGAAGACCTGTTTAACACCAGGACTTGAGAAGGAACCTTCTAAATAAACACAGGGTGGGCTGTGAGTTCAGACACAACTGCAAGCGTCGACAATCTCGCTCCAGAGATGGTTTGGTGTATTGTTACATGGTTTATGGATTCTTCTTAAGTTTGACTGGAATAAATACATTGACCAATATTGTCCCTAGACTCCGGCTCCACCCCTTCTCTTCCTAACCCAACCCCCACCCCCCACTCCCCTCCCCAACTCTCTGTTGAAGAACGAAGCACCCGTCGATGCTGACGGTGATGTGAAGCCGGGCGGGCACTGGCTTGGCTTGGCCAGTGTGTGCCGAGCAGGTGAGGGGGGGGTGGTGGTGGGGTCTCGCTGTGGGGAGCTCACTCTCAGTGGAAGGTGTTGGGGTTGGGTCTGATCATCATCACCACGGACTTGAGAGAGTAGGCGCCGCCCCGGAACTCTGCCCAGTAAACACCGTCCTGGTACTTGCTGCGGTAGTGACCCCCCCTGTACCACACCCCGTTCAGGTTGGAATGGGCACAGGCATTATACCACCAGCCTCCCTTCTGATAATGAGCACAGTTCCCTGTGGAGACACAAAAGAGTTGAAAAAGGTTTTGAGACGGGCCTTGAAGGAGGTGAGGGAGGGTGTGAGACGGAGGGGCTCCAGGATGATGGAGTTCCAGAGGGTGGGGGGGCAGAGAGGCTGGAAGCCCGACACTCGATGGTGGAGCGGGCATGGCGGTGGACATGGAGCAGGGCAGTGCCCACCGAGGGGAGGGAAGGAGCGGACAGGTTCGTAATGTTTTAATAGGCGACGGTGGTAGGCGGGAGCGAGAGTGTGGAGGGCTTTAAAAGTGAGGAGGAGGGTCTTGAACTCGATCCTCTGGGGGGGATGAGGAGACAGTGGAGCTGAGCGAGGGGGCGCGGTGGGGGAGTGGGGACACGGAGCTTGATACAACGTAGACAACAACAGCAAATACTCAACGCGTTTAGATATCGTCCCTCAAGCGGAGCGTGGAGACCGGGTGAGAGTGTTACCTGTGTAAGCGTCCCGGTCCCTGTCCAGTGTGGTGAACTGTTTGCCGTTGTGCCAAGTGAAGGAGTCACCGGCATTGCCGTGGTAGCGTCCGACACGCAGCTTGTAGTAGTCGTTCTCGGGCTCCAGGCGGAAGCTGGCGTACTCCGCAAAGACCTTGCGGCCTTGCCAGTCCTCCATGGTGATCAGCAGCTTGTAGTTGCCTTGGCTGGTCAGCCAGTAAATGTTCTCCAGCCCCAGCCAGTATTCCCCGTCAATGTTCCCGAAGCCTTGCTGTGGGACGACAAAACACGGGAATTGCCTTTATTTCACCCGCAATATAGTTTCCCGAAGCGCTTTGAGACGTCGCGAAGACAGCCTACGGCCTTTAATCAAAAACAAGGATTACTATTATTGTTGTTTTTATTATCGCACCAAAATATCTCAAATATATCCAAGAATAATTCTTGCATTTTGATACCTCGCCTCCTCCCATCGTTGAGATGTCTCAAAGTGCTTCACAGGATACAGTGTAAAGGAGTGACTGTGCATTTTGTGGGGTTGAATGGGACTCAGTTCAATGTATTTCATTAGGTGCTTACAGGATTGATAAACATAAGCCAATTGGGCACAGCCTTGTCCCAGTGTCTCAAAGCACTTCACAGGGAATTAGCATCAAGTGTAGTGACTTTTTTTTTATATAGTCAAAACATGGCAGTGGAGTCTTGCTCAACACCACCCTCTACAGTAAAACTCGCCTAAGTCGTAAATTATTTGTATAATTGCTTAAGTCATACATTCACCCGAGTCCCATTCAGTTTTTCTATCAAAACGACGTAAGATTGTCAACCGAGACACTGGGGGAAAGAGAGAGAGAGAGAGAGAGAGAGAGAAACTCCCTTCTCTTTTTCGAGTTACGGGATCTCTAACATCTGCCTGAACGGGGGTGGGGGAGGGGGAGAAGGTGGTGGGGTGGTGAGTGGGGGGGGGGGGCACAGACAGGACCTCTTTACAATGTCTCCACGGGAGTCTCTGACAATGCAATGCTCTCCCCCTCCCCCCAGCCCTGGAATAGGAGCATCAGCCCAGACTGTGAGCTAAAAGAACGTAAATTCAATTTGAACCCAAAAGCCCAGCGTTTCGATGTAATTTGCCCGCCGGGAACCCAGAAACAAGAATAACAAAGGCAGGTCTTCCAACCTCCAGCTCGTCTCATTCCTCAATTATCCTCCTTACACAGACACACACAGTCGCTGATGTGCTGATGTGCTGATGTTCCTTTGGCTGGTGTTAAGAGTGAGTGTGATTTATAGGTATGTGGTCCGCAGGGTTTTTTATTTCTCGGTTCGTGCTGTAAAGATTACGTCCCTGCGTGCACACAATGAGGCAGGTTTTAAATTTACGGATTAAATCAAGCGGGGAACCTTATTTTTGGCAAGCTGCTACAGCAAACATCGCGGGTTTGAAGTTAGCTCATCCCCAAAAGCTTCTCTCTCAGCATCCTGCCTGACAATACGCTCTCCCTCTCCCCCCCACCCCACCTCCACCGCCCGCCGAATAGAATATATATATATATATATACACACAAAGAAAATGTGGTCACTCAATCCACGACTGTTTGTGGGGACACTGCTGTGCACAATTGGCTGCCGCGTTTCGCCCACAAAATACACAGCCACTCCCACTTTACGGTATATTCCGTGAAGCGCTTTGAGACACCTCAAAGACGTGATCAGGCGCCACATCGAACGCAAGGATTATCATTGTTATTAATATTATCATCCCCCCAAATTAAGCCTCTGGTTTCGCACGAACGTTGCCTGTCTGACCTTGTACGTCTCCCAGTTGCGGAAGAAGTTAACGGACCCATCCTGGCGTCTCTGGATGACAGTCCAGCCGCCCGGGTCGTGCCTTTGGTCGCACCAGACCTGCATCAGGCGGTTGGTGTTCTCTGGCTTCAGCAGGTAGATCCCATTGGCCTCTTGGCCACCCTCCAAGGCCTCCAGGCAGTCCGTCCACGGCCCTGGGGAACAACAGAGCGTTTTACAACACCTTTGCGACGAGCACCTTCGCGTGTGTGTTTATCGTGGAGACCCCCCGCCCCCCCAGCGCAGTGGTCAGCGCACACGCCTCGCAAAGCGAGAGGACCCGGGTTCCATTCATTCTCGGGCGGGTCAGAGCGAAACCTTAGCCAAGTTTCCTTACTCCACGCACTGCCTCTGTTCACCCCGCAGTAAGCAGGAACCCGGTTGTTAGTCGATTGGCGGATCGCTTTCCGGGGGTAATAATCCCTCAAAAAAAAATGTGGTCACTCAAACCACGACTGTTTGTGGGGACGCTGCTGTGCGCAGTTGACTGCCCCGGTTCGCCCACAAAATATACAGTCACTACACTTTACAGTATATTCTGTAACAATGTGTTGTATCAAATGCGAGGATTATTACTATTATTAGTTGGGTTGAGAGACAGAGAGAGTGGGGAGAGAGGGCGCAAACTCTGACCAATGCAAGATTATTCCCGTAAAGTGGTGATAAGCGTGGGATGAAGCAACGGTTCAGGATTGTCGGGCGGAGGGGAGGGGAGTCAGCGGAGATATTTTCTCACACGCTCGTGGAGGGTGGCATTGCAGTGAGAACATGGAAAGTCTTGTCATGAGTTGAAGCTAAGGTTATAGCAGCATCTCAAGGGAATCGGACACACATTGGTGCTGGCGGTGGGACCTTCCCTTTAAACTGCAGTGAGAGCCTCGCGGTGATGGTGTGGGAGCGGGGAGTTCCTTTCTCACCAGCAAAGCCGGCTCCAGTGTGCGGGCAAATAATAATAATAATCTAATAATAAGAATCCTTGCCTTTGATACAGCGCCTTATCATGTCGTCGAGTCGTCTCAAAGCGCTTCACAGGATATACGGTAAAGTGGAGTGACTGTGTCTTCTGTGGGCCAAACGCGGCAGCCAGTTCAGGAAGCGCAATGATAAAGGACCAGCGCTGACTGAAGACGGGGGCTCGGAGGGTGGGGTGAGTGGGTGAGTGGGTGGGTGGGTGTCAGGAGAGGCTTTGCTGACGGTGGGAGCTTCGCTGTGTATCTTGGCCGGCCCTGGGGTGAGTGTGGGCGAGCCTCACGCTGACTCACTGGAAACCTTGGGTTGTTAATGGAGCAGTCAGTGGCTTTGTGTTTTGATTGGAGTTATTGGACGCACGGAAAAACGTTCAATCTCTAAACCGGCCTGACGCCGAGTAATTGACTCCCTCCCTCCCTCTTCCCCACCCTCTCTCTATCTCTCCCTCCCCCCCTCTCTCCCTCACTCCCCTCCCTTGCGCCTCCACCCAAGATGAATTGATGACCTTTACACCAGTCCACGACCAGGACACATAAAGCCGATACCTGGTGTGAGCGAGCGCTTGATCTGCCCTTGTGTCTGCACGGTGGGGGAGGGGGGGGGAGGGGGGTGGACTATCTGCTGACAGAAGGAGATACTTGATCCACAATGACATGGGTCTCGTGAGGCTGTCAGCGCTGTTTGAGGAAGTCCCAGCAGAGGGGGAGGCCGGTTTGTCTTGGCTGCTGCAGTGTCCGGGCTGGGGAGGACAGCGGCTCCCAGACTACAGCCAAGAACAACACTCACCCGCAGACCGGGAGACATCGGCTGGGGGGGGGGGGGGAGGCAGGGGAGGAGGGGGTGGGGGGGGAAACCAAAGCTTTGTCAGGCAGACCTTGAGCTCGCTATTAGTGTTGCGGTTACAGAGCTCCGTGACTTGCAATGAGAACATCTGGTTAACATCTCTGACCGACAACCTGACGAACCGTGGTGAATACAGGTTACCAGAGCCCAGTCTGACGCCCCAGCTCAGAACCCCTGGATGCTGTCAATTGTAGTGACTGTGTATTTTGTGGGCGAAACATGGCAGCAATTGCTCACAGCAGTGTCCCACAAACAGTTGTGGAATGAGTGACCACATTTTTTATTGGAGGGATAATTACGCCCAGAAAGCGATCCGAAAATCGACTGACAACAGAGAGTTGCACTCTCAAATTGTCCTTCATTTGAGAAGCTAAAGCCAGGTTCTGTTCGTAACAGTCCAGGTGGGCATTGAAGATCCTGAGACACTATTCAAAGAGAACAGAGTTTCCGTCTCTCTCCCGGTGTCCTGCCGACAATCCCTCAGATAAAATCGATCCGTTTATGGGACTTTTGTTGTGCGCAAACTGGCTGGTGTCTGTTACGATAAAGTGATCAAATGTGAGGATGATTTATTATGATTTTCACATCAGTCTCCTCTTTCTCTGTGTGTTTTGTTTTTAACTTCTGTCTACCTTTGGCGAGACCCGAGGTTTAGTGGTTAGAGCACTCGCCTCGCAAGTGAGAAGATCCGGGTTCGATTCCCAGGCAGAGCAAAACCTTAGGCAAGTTTCCTTACACCACACGCCTCTGTTTACCCAGCAGTAAGTAGGAACCCGGTTGTTAGTCGATTGTTGGATCACTTTCCCCAGGGTAATAATCACTCCACACAAAACAAATGTGGCCGCTCAATCCACAACTCTTTGTGTGCAATTGGCTGCCGTGTTTTGCCCACAAATTATAGTCACTACATTTTACAGTTTATCCTGTGAAGTGGTTTGAAATGTGTCAATGATGTGATAAGGCGCTATATCAAATGCAAGGATTATTATTAGAATGTTTTACTTCATATGCAGTGAAACCTCCCATGACAGACAGACAGACAGAGAGACAGACAGGCAGACAGAGTGACCGACTGACTGACTGACCGAGTGCCTGAGTGTGTGTGCAGTAGCCATGGCCCTGGCGAGATTGCTTTAACATATGTGGAGAAAGGCTTGTTTTCTTTAGCTTCGCGCTGCAAAGTCCAGGAGATTTACAGGGAGCCTGACGGCAAGCTGGCAGATCACAGAGCACGTTAATCAAATTATATCTCTGTTTCTGGCTCTAAACTTACACAACTCTGCCTCTCTTCCCCCCCCAACCCCCACAGACTCGCTATCGTTCATCGGGATTATTCTATATTGTCAAAACTGAGAGTCCCTATGTGATGAGACATAAATAATTTCCGAGAATCACAGAACCGGAGAATCTCATGGAGGCCATTCGGCTCATCGTGCCTGTGCTGGCTCTTTTGGAAGAGCTACCAACTAGTCCCACTCCCCCCCCCACCCCTGCTCTTAACCTACAGCCCTGCAAATTCTTCCTTTTCAAGAACCTCCTCCAAAATAAAAAGAAACTCCATCACTGGCTTCACACGACCGTTTATACACTTTCCCACAAAGTCCTGAGAAACGCTTTGAGAACGTCTCGTCGCCATGATCAGGCTGTCATATCAAGTGGAAGGATGATGTTTTTTATTAATAAAATTGGGGCCGTGGCCTGTTTCGAGATGGGCCTCTGATAAGGGTAGTGATTGAATTCAGAAGGAAATTGCACCTGTCATTCCTCAGGCTGCTATTTGTGAACCTTTCGCGAGGTTCAAACAGCCCTGCTGCTTTCTACCACAGCAATAATAATAATAATAATCCATACATTTGATTCAGGGAGTTTCACATTGGGAGGACGTCTCAAAGCGCTTCACACCATCTACTGTGGAGTCCCCTAGCGTGGCGGTTAGGGCACTCGCCTCGCAAGCGAGAGGACCCGGGTTCGATTCCCGGGCAGGGGGCGAAACCTTAAGGCAAGTTTCCTTATAATTCGCACACCTCCGCACTAGCTCGGTCCTGGAGGATGAGTCTAGACTATTAGCTCAACATGAGGACTTGAACCCAAAACCTTCTGACTCAGAGGCACGTGCGTGAGAGAGAGAGAGAGAGAGAGAGAAACTGGGCCACGGGTGATGTGACCCTCCTCCTCCTCGCTTGTCCAAATTCTCTCTCCCTCCCTCGTTACCCTTGCAACAATCCACTTTGATTAGCTCCAGGTTTTATGTGACTTTATATGAGCTGCGTGGCACAATACAGCAGCAACGACTTGCATTTATATAGCTCCCTTCACACGGGTTAGAGTCCCAGAGCGCTTGAAATAGGCTGTAAACTATCTGCTCACAGCACGAGGGAGCTTTCCAGTTAATTAAAGATCCAGCGTTGCAGAGGAAACCCCGGGAAGCTGGACCTTTGCTGTGCATTGTTGTATGTGCTCGCCAGTAGCCTTCACCAAATAAACAACCACATGCGAAAGAGAGGCATTTTCTGGAGTTTCCGTGACTAAACTTACAGACACACTCTACAAGGGAGGGTGCTGCAGTACAGGTTTACTCGCTTTACATAGAAACTATAACAATAATACTGCTTGCATTTGTTATAGCACCTTATCCCGTCTTCGAGATGTCTCAAAGCGCCTCACAAGATATACGGTAAAGTGAATTGGCTGTATATTTGTGGGAAAAACGCAGCAGCTAATTGCGCACAGCAATTGTAATATAATATAATGTAATGTAAAATATAGACTTAGATACACAATGAAAAGCGGAAGCTTCTGAATGTGTCGTGGGTGTGAGTGGCATTTAATGTTCCTCTCCCCCCCCCCCCCAATATTCCTCGATCCTGCAAACCTTTCCACAACCAATTCTGCGCCATCTTCAATGTTAGAACAACAATAATCCTCGCCGTTGATACAGCGTCATATCAGGTTGTGGAAACGCCTCAAAGCGCTTCACAGGATATGCTGTAAAGTGGAATGACTGTGTGTCTTACGGGCGAAACGCGGCAGCCAATTGCGCACAGCGACGTCCCACGCACAGCCAAGGGTCCACAAACAGCGAACGACCAATTTTATTTGGTGGGGTTGTCGGCCTGGACACCAGGAGAGAGAAACTCCCTTCTCTTTTCAAGTAGCTCGATGGGATCTTTAACATCCACACGAACAGACAGATGGGACCTCGGTTTAATGTCTCATTTGAAGGAAAGAACGTACTGTTTAACTCCCCTCAAAATCTCATCCAGAATCTCACACGCAGGCTCGAGTCCCCATGTTATAGCTTTGAGTTTACAAACTTGGCTGATTCTCCATACGTTCCCCCCCCCACCACAGCCTCGCCTCGCATTTGCCCACTCTGATAATAATAATCCTTGCATTTGATATAGCGCCTTATCATGTCACAGAGAAGTCTCAAAGGATAAACCGCGATTTGCAGTTTGACATAACTCATACTCATAAAGTCTTATTAAAAGTCTGGCCCCAATTGATAAGAATGAGAATAATAATCCTTGCATTCGATATAGCGCCTTATCACGTCTTCGAGACCTCTCAAAGCGCTTGACAGAAGAGTTTCTACTGCAAAGCGAATTGACTGTGTATTTCGTGGGCAAAATGTGGCAGCCAATTGCGCACAGTCGAGGATTGAGTGACCACATAATTATTTTTATTTATTACCCCCGCGCTGATTAGATGGTCCAAGTCCCCAGTGTCAGGAGAGTGTGGTGTGGTGTGTTTTACTGGCGGGCTGCATGAATTTATTGGGCTTCCACCAGTGTGTTCCTCTAGTTAAAGCTTTTACGTTGCCTGGGTAGTGTGTATTGGCAACACCAATTGCCCTCCCATTAAGTAACTGCAGCTGATTTACACAGTAGTTAATGGATTTTAGTAACCAGACATTAAGAGGCTATAAAACTCCCAACCAGAACACAATAATCGCAGACTTTGGGGGTCCTGTTAACCAGCTCTAATTGTACAGGGCACTGTAACGCCATCAGTAGCGCGGCTCCAAAGTCTTGGGAGGCCATGTTATAAACAAAGTACAAAAGGTCCGGATGTTTCCTGGGTCGCTGCTGATGTCGCCCACTTCCTCCACAGCACCCAGGAAGTGACATCGGGGACTATTCGCACGTGTCGGGGGATTCTGAACTCGTACAGTTCGGCTGACGCTCCAGTACAGCGCTGGGGGCTGTGACAGAGATGCAACGTTAAACCGGGGTCCCAGTTACCCATGTAGGTGGACGTTAAAGATCCCACAGCACTACAAAATACTCAGTCACTCCACTTTACAGTATATCTTGTGAAGCGCTTTGAGACGTCTCGACGACATGATAAAGCGCTGTATCAAATGCAAGGACTATTATTATTGTTACTTGGAGCCGTCCTCCGGAAGCGAAAGGCGCTCTGGCGAACGTAAGGATTATTGTTTATTAATAATAATAATCCTCGCATTTGATACAGCGCCTTATCACGTCGTTGAGACGTCTCAAAGCGCTTCACAGGATACACTGTACAGTGAATTGACTGTATATTTTGTGGTCAAAACGGCATAGCAGCCAATTGCGCACAGCAGTGTCCCAGAAGCAGTCGTGGATTGAGTGGCTAAATGTTTTTTTTTGGAGGGATTATTACCCCATTAAAGTGATCTGCCATCGACTAATAACCGGGTTCCTACTTACAACTGGGTACAGAGAGGCGTGTGTGCGGAGTAAGGAAAACTTTTTAAGAGATTATTATTAATCGTAGTATGATCACAATTTTTAAGTGCCAAATTTCCGGATGTTGTTAAGGTTGGATGTTAGATGGGAAACATTGGGAAATGTCAGTATCCGAACCTCTTCGCGGGGCACTCTCTCTCTCTCTCTCTGCCCACAGATCAGCTCAGGGAACAGACTGCGCGAATGTTAGCACTGAGACACGTGAGCTCAGTTTACTTCAGGGAAAAGGGATTTAAACCAAACCACATTTTATTTTATTTGCACTTAAATAGTTTGATCTGGAACTGCTTATTTTGAAATTTGTGATATTTATTGTTGAATTCTAAACAGGATCATAAAATGTTTACAGCACAGGAGGAGGCCATTCGGCCTGCTGCGTGTGCTGGTGCTCACTCTGCCCCTCTCACAGGAGCTCTCGACTCTACTCTGATCCCCATTTTAAGCGCTTTGAGATGCTCCCCTGCCTGGAGGGTGCTATATAAGTGCAAGTTGTTGTTGTTGTTCCCCTGCTCTCGTGTGTGCTAGTGCTCATTTGCCCCCTCCCTCCCCAACTACAAACACACACCGGAGCTCTCTCTATTCTAATCCCGTTCCTTGCACTTTTCCCCCAGTCTTGTTTGTGCTGGTGTTCGCTTCCTCCACTGAAGCTGTCAAGCCTCATCCCCTCCCTTTGCTCATTTACCTCCCATCTTGTGTGTCCTGGTGCTCGCTCTCCCCCTCCACACCCCACCACCCCATACACCCACCCAGGAGTCTCTACTCTAATCCCATTACCCTGCTCTTTCTTTCTCAACGTCTTTCTCCAGTTGCTTCTGCTGTGGGCTTGGCTTCCACAGCCATTTGTGGTAATGTTTCCCCACATAACAAACAGTCGAGGGTTATTAAAAACATGGAACGCCCGATCAAGACAAGTGGTTGAGACAGAAACCAGAACAGCCTTTCAACTTCTTAAAGCCAGAGATGAGCTATGCTTTGATTTAGAGCAATAAGAATAATCCTAGCGCCTTATCATGTCATCGAAATGTCTCAAAGCGCTTCACAGCATAGACTGTAAAATGAAGTGCGTTTTGCGGGCGAAACGATTTGATTACACATCCTTGGCGCTTTGAGAGTGGGGAGTGGGAGGTCGAGGGAGCGGGGATGGGGATGAGGGTGGGGTGGGTGGGGGGGAGGTTCGCAGGGACTGAAACCCAGTAGATTATTCGAAAGAGTTAAATGGGATGGATTTTGGACGAGGATTAAAATGACGTCACTCAACATTGCAAGGAACATAGCAACAGCTGGTGGTGGGAACTTGTCTTGTGCGGTATCTGGCTTCTGTTTCTTTGCCGCAAAAGGTTTCAAGTAAAGGCCGGAGATTATCATGGATTACACAGCGGCGGGAGAGGGGGTGGGGGTGAGAGAGGGAAGAAGTGGGGTAGAGAGGGATGGGGTGTTGAGAATGGGGAGCGGAGGTTGGAGCAACATCTCAGAGCGGTTTATGACACCACGTAACGGGGTGTGTTGGTGTCTTGGTGCTTCTGCCTCTTAAGGATGTCGAGTTGTTGGTTGGTGTTTTATCTTTAATATACTGCGTATAAATCTATGTTTAATTAAGACCAGAATAACACAAGAGGGGCCAAGGGTAGGGGGGGAGCGTGGGGGAGAGGGGAGCGAGAGAGAAGCCTGGTTTTCCTACAACAATAACCTGTTGTATGCTCCGAACGTGGCCGTTGCCGTGGGACAGAAGCGAAGCCTCATTATCCAGCTCTGGTGTGTTGGCTGATGTGATGCCATGTGGCAGATTGGACCTGATGCAGTTTGGCTCTATAGTGTTTTGGCCCTTGTCTCACGCACAGGAACATCGAACACACATCATCCCGGGCTGCGGCTGTCAGCTCCAGGCCTGGGAGACAGAGGGTTAGGGGCAGACTCTCGGCAAAACTCCGCTTGGGATTCATGGGAGGAATTCATCCACCTCAGGGACTCGAGCTCACAGTGTCATAATAATAAAAATAATAATCCTCGTATTTGATATAGAGCCTTATCACGTCGTTGAGTCGTCTCACAGTATAAATTGTCAAGGGTAGTGACCGTATATTTTGTGGGCAAAACGCAGCAGCCAATTGCACACAGCAGTGTCCCACAAACAGTCGTGGATTGAGTGACCACATTTTCTGGACGGGAGGATTATTAACCCCTGGAAAAGCGATCCATCAGTCGACTAGCAATCAGGTTCCTACTTACTGTTGGGTAAACAGAGGCGTGTGTGTGTGTAGAGCAAGGAAACTTCTGCTTTAACCAGTGTTTTCAGGCATGAGTTCCACTCTGTGTGCGAGTGTGTGTTTGTATGTTACTGTGCGTGTGTTTGTCCATACATCCGGGCATGCTGTGTGTGTGCAAATGATTGAGTGAGTGAAAACATGTTCACTTCACCTCTCTCCGTGCTTTTTTTTAAAAAAACAGATAAAAACGTCGAGTTGTAATAAGATGCCTGATAAATCCTTCACGCCTCAGCGGAATCACGACACCTCTGTCCTGTGATACCCGTGTCGCCCCACCTCCAGCACCGAACAGGAGAATGTTAACGGGAGATCTGATTTCAAGGGAACAGGTGCTGTCTGTCTGGGGACGAGAGGGGGGGGTTGGGGGGGAAGGGGGGGGGGCGATTTCCATTTATTTATATAAGAATTTACGTTGTTTGTGTTGTAATATTATTCTGCATTGGGATTGGAGTGAAATTGGCTTTCAGCCATGCAATGTGTTCTCTAAATGCTGCTGAACCTCTTCATTTCCTACCGGGGGGAGTGTAGGGGTGGGCGGGGGAGTGGGAGGGCTTCCCTTCCTCTCCTCTCCCCCTCCCCTCTCCAGTTCACTCCCCACCCACCCCGCTCGGCACCAATAACATTCAATCAGTTTCTCCCCCCTCACCCCCCCACTCCCCAAGGCAAGTCTATCAATAATAATCTTGTGCTTGACATAGCGCCTTATCACGTCTTCGAGACGTCTCAAAGCACCTCACCGAATATACCGTAAAGTGTAGTGACTGTATATTTCGTGGGCGAAACACAGCAGGCAATTGCGCACAAACAGTCGTGGATTGAAGTGAGCGATTTTTTTTCTTTTGGAGGGATCGTTGCCCTCTAGAAAGCGACCCGCCAATCGACTAACAACCGGGTTCCTACTGACAGCCAGGTAAACAGAGGCGTGTGGAGTAAGGAAACCTGCCTAAGGTTTCGCCCTGACCCGAGAGTGAATCGAAACCGGAAGCGAGCACGCTAACCACTTCGCTACGTGACTCCAAATCCCCCGTTGCCCCACCTCCCACCCTCCACCCCTCTCGTTGGCACAATGGCCCTGTGTCTTGTCTTACCGGACGGCGTGCTGGTGATGGGCACGTTGGAGGGGAAGGCTGGCAGGTTCTGTACCAGCTGCGGCCGCTCCTGGTGATTCTGGTCTCTCTGGATCTCGTTGGTGGTGATCTGGTGGACGGGGTGTTTTGGGGGCGGGGGCGGGGGCTGCACTGGGTGTGCAGCGGGCAGCAGTTGGCACCTCTCCTCCAGCCGGGCGATCAGGCTGGACTGGTTGTTGGCCAGAGAGACCAGGTGCTGGTACTTGTGCTCCAGATCCTTGTAGCGGTTAGAGAGACGCATCATCTCCGAGGTCTGGTTGAGGATCCTGTTCTCCAGTTGGGACACCTCCAGGGCGTTGTCTCTCTTGCGTATGATCTCGTGCAGTAACTGCATGTAGAGCTGAGTCACGCGGGAGTTCATGTTCCTGCTCTCCTTACGCAGGAGTTTGACCTCGTTGACCACTCCGCCGTCCACCTCCACCAGCTGCTGGAGGATCTCGATCTGCCTCTTCTGCTTCAGCAGCTCACTGGTCACCACCTCCATCTCCTGCTTGTTGACCCTGCTCTCCACCAGGCTGCCGGCCACCGACTCCGGCTTGGAGTTGACGCAGATGGCGCCCGTGACCCGCTGCTGGGGCACTATGAAGGTGTAGGAGCACTGGCCATCCTGCGCGCCCGTCGCCCTTCTGTGCCGGGCATCGCCGTACACCAGCTTCGGCTCCTCCTCCTCGGGGGCGTGGGCGGGGGCATGGCCGGGCTGCTCCTTCCCCTCCCCCATCGCAGCCCTGACCCCAACTCCGACCACCAGGTCAAACAACGCCATCAGCATCAACAGGATAAGTCCATTCATGGTGACGCTCTGGTTTCCTGTCCTCTGTTGGAAGAGAGAGAGAGAGAGAGAGTTACACCCATTATTTGGTCACTCAATCCACGACTGTTTGTGGGACGCTGCTGTGATTGGTTGCCGTGTTTCACCCACAAAATACACAGTCACTCCACTTTACATATATCCTGTGAGACGTCTCGATGACAACGTGATAAGGCGCTGTATCAAATACAATGATTATTATTATTATTGAAAGAGAGCATCAATTTAAATCAACAACAACAACAACAACAAGATTCCATTTATTGAGCGCCTTTCACGTCGGGAGGACGTCCCAAGGCGCTGTACAGTTGGGTCAGGACCCGAGCATTGGGGGGAAATGGTCAGGGTGAGGGGAGGGAAGGGAGGGAGCGAGGAGGGGGTAGAGAGTCGAGAGGGGAGCTGAAGGCACGGTCAAAGAGAAAGGTCTTGAGACCGGCCTTGAAGGAGGAAAGGGAGGAAGCGGCGAAGGCACTGGGGATAGAGTTCCAGAGCCTCGGGGCTGAGAGGCTGAAGGCCCGACCACCGATGGTAGGGCAGTTGGTGCGGGGGATGTGGAGCAGACCGGAGCCAGAGGAGCGGAGGGTACGGGCAGGTAGGTAGGGGGATAGTAGGTCGGAGAGGTAGGAGAGAGCAAGGCCGTGAATGGCCTTGTAGGTGAGGATGAGGATCTTGAATTCGAAATCCTGGAAAACACATGAGAATTCACCTTACAAGTGCGAGGATTATTATTATTATTATTATATTATTATTATTAGCATACTTAGTAACAATGAGAGGGAGGGGAAGAAAATCTCTCTCCTCTGTGATATTGCCCAGCTTGAATTTACTGTTCACATTGTTGGAATAGTTGGTTTTCAGGGTCCAAAAAAAAGTCATAATTAATGAGAACCATCTTTCTCTCACACTGTTTGTTGCGTGTCTGCTGTTGCACACCACGGCAGCTGCTGTTGGAAGTAGGCACTTGATTCTCAATGGGAAAAGGAAACGGGATTAGCAATGTCAAGGTAATCTTGTAATGGGATTCAGCTGCTTTGGGTTTAGGGGACTTTACGGTCCCAGTCTTTGCCCCAGACCTGGGTTGGATTCCCAGGCGTGTCGGTACGAAACCTTGGGCAGGTTTCCTGAAAGAGACGTCTCATAAGGCGAGTGACAAGGCGCTATATCAAATGCAAGGTCAGAAGACTGTTTGGCTGGAGCCCACATATCATGTGGATGGCATTCCGGAGTATTTCTGTTTTAAGACGCCTGATTCCTGTAAGGGGAAGGTCCCGCCAACACTGATCTGCTTTGGCTGTGCAACAGAGCCTGAGAATAGACACTGCTTTGAAATGAATCTGATGCGTCCAACTGCGGCCCCCTGCATTTGCATTTCCCTGCATTTGCTCTGCCAATATTTATAATATCCCAACGTGAGCCAGTGCCAGTCGAGCGCTGAACTGATCCACGCCACACTCCCATTCTACAGCTGTTGGCTTTGTGAGTCTGGGAATAGTGCTGGAGCATGACACATGGCGGCTATAAGCTCCCGAGTAAAAGTAATACGAAGGGGGATAGAGTGGGGGGGGGGGCGTGGGGTGAGGGGGGTAGAGTGAAGAGCTCCAGCGTGGGTGAGGGGAGCACTGGCACAAAAAGGGTGGGGGGAAAGAGCAGGGGATTGGGGGTTAGATTTGCATGGGAATGGGATTTTGTGAAACCTTTTAAAATTTTAAGATGGGAAAATAAAACCTATGTCAAGACGAGGCTTCTCTCTGTAAGACAGAGAGAGAGACTAAGAGAGAGGGAGAGAGAGAGAGCGAACAAGAATTATCACCCTAACTATCAGTAATAATAATAATCCTCGCATTTAATACAGCGCCTTATCACATCGTTGAGCCATCTCAAATTTCATCACAGAATATATTGTAAAGTGTAGTGACTGTGTATTTTGTGGGTGAAATGCGGCTGCCAATTGCGCACAGCAGTATCCACCACAGTCGTGGATTGAGTGACCAAGTTATTATTATTTTTATCTATTTATTTGGAAGGGATTATTACACCCGGAAAGCGATCCGCCAATCAACAGTGGAGTGTGGAGTAAGGAAACTTGGCTTTAATGTATCGCCCTGCCCGGGAATCGAACCCAGTTCCATTCGCTTGCGAGGGGAGTACTCTCACCATTACGCTATGGGACTCCATGAATAATTAGCAAACAATGAGGTGATTCTTTCCACTTTCAAGAGCGTCAGAGTTTGCAATCTCTGGGTGGCACAGAGCCCTGCCACAGAGAACTCATCTCTGGTGGGACTCCGTGCCTGTTAAATTATAATAATGATTACAATAATGGACGTCTGATGTTAATAATAATAATAATAGTATCCTGCAATTCACAACACTCCCCTCATCGAAAACTCCATCCGGTTTTAATCGGCCCAGTCTTTAGTTTGCATAAAGCTGATTCCTTCAGTTAGTTGTGTTTACCCGTTTAGCGCTGGCACTTAAGTGTTTTATGAAATGGTGTAATGGTTACCATCTGAATAGCGCAACATTCATTTCACAGTGAGTTTGCAGTGCAGGAGGAGGTCAGTTGTCGTGTCCGTGCTAACGCTTGATATAGCGCCTTATTGCATCATTGAGGCGTCTCAAAGCGCTTCACAGAATGTTTTGGAAAGTGGAGTGACTGTGTAATTTATGGGCAAAAAGCACCAGCCAATTGCGCACCGCAGCGTCCTGCAAACCGTCGCGGATTGAGCGACCAATTTTTTTCGAGGGAGTATTACTCCACCCGATCCGCCAATCGACTAACAGCTGGGTTCCTACTTACTGCTGGGTAAACAGAGGCACGTGTGCGGAGGAAGGAAACTTGCCTAAGGTTTGGTCCCGGCCGGGAATCGAACCCGGGGTCCTCTCGCTTGCGAGGCGAGTGCGCTGACCCCAACACTAAAAGACTCCACGTATGACAGCCCTGAGTTTCGGGGGGTGGGGTGGGTGGGTGGGTGGGGGGGATGCAGTGGGGAGGAAAGGGGGAGATTTATGGCGTTGGCAGTGGATAAGGTCCATCTGTTGCAAAGCCAGAGCTCGAAGGATAAACATTAGCCCACACCGCAACAGGTACACAGTGGCTGGCTGGCCCACAGAAGCCAAGTGTCAGTCTCTCAGGCCCTAAGGCTGAGCCTGAGAGGATTGATGGCTCTCACAGAGAGACCCTGTTATACTCATGTGCCGACTTTCTGCCCAGTTTCAGTGCAGTTCCTCCCAAAAATAATAACGAGTTTACAAGTTTATTTAAGACAGTGTGAAAAGCTGAGCTCTACCTCGTTATTGTGTGTGTGTGTGTGTGAGTGTGTGCGTTTAATGTGCCTGTACTGGCTGGCGTGAGGCTAGACTTGGCAGCCGTGGGTTAACAAATCTCCGTCTCTGCGCCAACCAGAAATAAAGAGAATTCAGGAGCAAACTGTCACCCCATCCCCCTCCCTTAGTGCCTGGGGAGGACGTGGGTGGGTGGTGGGGTGGGGTGGGGTTGGGGGGTGGTGGCTTGCTGTTTCTGCTTGGAATTAACGTTTCCAAACTTTTGCCTTGACTTCATATGTGTGTACATGTGTGTGTGGTGGGAGGGGGTGTGGGGAGAATTGTGTGTGTGTGTGTGTGTGTGTGTGTGGGGGGGGGGGGGCGATGGGGAGTTTGTGTTGAAGGGGTGAGATGTGGAGTGTATGTGTGTGTGTTTCAGAGCGGAGTGTGTGTATGTGGTGTGGGAAAGAGAAGAGTGTGCGTGGGACAGAGGAGTATGTGTGTGTGCACGTGGGAGAGGGGAATGTGAGTGTGTGTGTGTGTGTGGGGGGGGGGGGGGGAGTGTGGGGGGAAGAGAGACGAGTTGTATTAGGAGATGTCTGATACAGTAACCCGATCCCTCTCTTTGAAGTTCTCAAACATTAGTGTGACTTTGTGACAAATAATGAGATTAGGGATTTCCCCCCTCTCTCCCCCCCCCCCCCCAACAACACACCCACACACCACAAGCTCCTCTCCCCCCCCCCCCCCCCCCCGGTACCTTGCTTTGTGGGTATGAGCTCGGCTGTAATCACTGCTGTGTCTCTCGCTCAGTATTTGGTGTGGTTCAGCGGTGAGCCAGACAGTCTGTGTATGTGTCTGTGTGTGTCTGTGCGCCTGTGTGCCTGTGGTTGTCTGTGCGCGTGCGTGTGTGTCTGTGCGCGTGTGTGTCTGTGCGTGTGTGAGCCAAGGCCAGTGTAAAGTAAAACCAACCTCTCGGGGATAAAAATCAAACGCTTGCTCACGTACGGATCCACACACAAAGAGGAAGAACATTGCGTGCCCACAAAACGCACAGTCACTCCACTTCACTAAATATCCTGTGAAGCGCTTCGAGACGTCTGAGTGACGTGATAAGGCGCTGTATCAAATGCAAGGATTTATTATTCTTATTATTGTGATGTTGCAGCTCAAAGGGGCTAACAGCTATCGGCCTCCTCCCTTCTTTCTTAAGGGGGGGGGTGGGGGTCTGGGGGTGTTTGTCAGCCAAACAGAGCTCAGTCCCAGCGGTCTGTCCATTCTTGACATACTTTAGCACCTCATTAAACCACCCTGTCCACAGCCAACTCACTCCCAACCTTTCCAATTTTTATGAACTCAGACACACACACAAAAAAAAACCTTCAGCCCCAAACACAGCTCAGCACAGCCACCCCTACCCCCTAAAAAAAATACACACACACACACACACACACTAAATCCTTCCTAAATAAACCGCATAAATAAATAACCCACCCACAAAATGCAAGTCAGTCCACTTTACAGTGTATCCTGTGAAGCGCTTTGAGACGTCTCAACGACGTGATAAGGCGCTGTATCAAATGCGAGGATTTATTATTATTGCGTTGATTATTTTTCTTATATATAGTAATAATCAAAAAAAGGTGTTCATTCGCCTCACAGGTTAATCTCTGTCGTTTTCGTTACACACCCACTGATTTGTGCAACAAAGGGTATCATTTGCAAACAAACAAAGCTGCAAATAAGTGCACGGAAACTGGTCAAAACTTCAAAGCTGCCGACAAAGCCCAAGGGCTCAGTGATCCCAGGGAGAGGCACAAAATGTAAAGTGTTAGCTTCAGGGCAGGTTATAAAGCGATTGATTCATTCGCTAGTGATTCGCTACCGATTCCGTTACTCTTTTTTGAGTCCGGTTCGGAAACTTGGACAGGAGTCTCTTCGGCTCGTGTGTTTGCTGCACATTAACACAACACATGCCGTTGGCTCTGGTGGTACTTTCATCACAGACCTCACAGGGTTAAAAAGTTGTGGGTTTTAAGCACAAATGAAACCCTCTCTACACTACGCAGACGCCACACGCACACAGACCCTCACACACACATACACACACACACCCTCACACACAATCCCTCACACACACACGGACCCTCACATACAAACCCTCACACACACATACACACACACCCTCACACACAAACCCTCACACACACACGGACCCTCACATACAAACCCTCACACACACACACCCAGACATACACACCCACCCTCACACACAAACCCTCACACACACAGACCCTCACATACACACACACACATACACACACCTCTTCACACACAAACCCTCACACGCAGACCCTCACACACACAGACCCTCATACACACACATAGACCATCACACACACACACAGACCCTCACCCACAACCCCTCACACACACACATACAGACCCTCACACACACACAGACCCTCACACAGACCTTCACACACACACGCAGACCCTCACACACACAGACCCTCACACACACACACACACACCGACCCTCACACACACATCCCCACAGACACAGAGCCTCACACACACACACGCAGACTCTCACACACATACACAGACCCTCACACACACGCACAGATCCTCACACACACCCACAGACACAGACCCTCACACATACACAGACCCTCACACATACACAGAGACCCTCACACACACACACACACAGACCCTCACACACACACACAGACCCTCACACACACACACAGACCCTCACACACAGACCCTCACACACACTCACACACAGACCCTCACACACACACACAGACCCTCACACACACACACACACAGACCCTCACACACACACACACAGACCCTCACACACACACACACACCGACCCTCACACACACCACACCCCCCCCACAGTTTGTATGTATTTAAAGGAACACTTGAACATCATCAACACTGAGGAAGAAGAGTGAGAAGAGCGGTGTTACTGTTCCCAACAACAGTAATAGCAACAATAACAAATGCAGTTATCCAGTGCTTGAATGACCTCTCAATCCCCATTCCCCCCATTCCCCCATTCCTGACATTTAAAGCGATTTAAGCGCAATACACAGAGAAACGAGAGTGAAGTGAAGTGCTGAGGATCTGTCTGTGTCTGTGTGTCTGTGTGTCTGTCTGTCTGACTTACCCGGCTTTGCTGGTGTCTCGTGTCAGGGCTTCTCCTCCTGATTGCCTTGGCTTCTGTGTTGTTTTTAAGACTAAACAGCTCGTGTGAAAGGCTGTAATCGCCTGTGGGCTGAATATCAGCAAAGACACACACAGAGAGAGAGACAGAGAGACAGACAGACAGAGTATGTGTGTGTGTGTGTCTCTCTCTCTCTCTCTATCACTGTGTAAATCACTGTAAATCACTGGCTGCAGCAGAGTCCCAGGCACTGGATGTTCAGGGGTGTATCAGTCTACAGCAGTCACACAAAAAAAAGATGCCAAAATAAACAGCTTTGATGGTGGGTTTAAACTGCTGCCTCTTATCAGGAGCGAAAAGGTCTTGGGATGTGGGGAAACAGAGAGAAAGAGAGACACAGAGAGAGAGAGAGGGGGCAGGAGGGATGGAATTAACTTCAGATTTCTTTGTCAAACTTTGTGGCTGTGTCTGTGAAAAAAAAGACTTGCAACTAACTTTAACTAACTAACTAACTGACTGACTGACTGACTGACTCAGAAGCAGTTCCCTAGCAATCCAGCCTCCCAGTAGTATCGCCTTGGCATGTTGTGCTGAGAGCCACAAGCTTTCATTTTCATCCTTCGGAGAAAGTATAGAGAGAGAGAGAGAGAGAGAAGGAGAGAAAAGGAGTGAAAAAGAGAGAGAGAGAGAGGGAGCTCACTGTGTCTCTGTATCCCTCTCTCTGTTTGGAGAGAGATCCTCTCTCTACTCTGTGTGTGTGTGTGAGGCTGGACTGAGTGAGATGTCACCAGGCTCTGTGTGTGTGTGTGTTGGGGGGGGTGAGGGCTCTTTCTCACCCCCCCCCCAAAAAAAAACTCTGTGAGTTTCACCAACATTCAAGGTGGGAAGGGCTGCAAAAGAGAGCTATTCTCCAGAGTTGGAATCACGTCACCCATAACTACTGGAACACACAACCACATCTCTCCTCCTCCTCTCTCCTCCCTCCATCCCTCCCTCACACTTTTAATTCTTGGCAAATCCCCCCTTTCTCTCCCCCCTTCCTCTCTCTCTCTCTCCCTCCCCCTCACTGGAAACCCCTGCCTTTTGACATCAGCCTGGAAAAATGCAATCTGCTTAAAATGAAGATGTCATGGTGTTTAGAATGGATGAGTTTTCAGCAGAGGGAGGGGGTGGGGGGTAGGGAGGGAGAGAGAGAAAGAAAGGAGACCCCAGAGTTTCTGGGGATTGAGGATTTGAGGATAAACATCAGAAATCACAGCAACTTAAGAAAATAAGCAAGATTCCCTCTCAACCCCCCCCCCCCCCCCCCCCCCCCCCCCCCCCCACACACACACACACACTTAGATATCCTTATAGCGTTGATCTGTCTTTTAAAAATCAGAGAAGCTTTTGTGCTTATCATAGAGAAAGAAAAACAATTCTCGGAAAAAATGATAAGGGGGGGAAGGAGAGAGAGAAGGCAAACCCCACCCCCACCCCAAAAAAAAACCTTGAGTCAAATAGGAGAGCATCATTGCGGGCTTTTTTTTTACACGAGGGTGACCGAAAAGTTGCGATCTCTACTCTATTATCTAAAAAAAACACAAAAATATCATTATTTCTTTAAGAACTTGTTAGCATTGTAATGGGATCACGATTTTTTCGGTCGTCCTGTGTACGTTGCGTTAAAATTGCTCCTCACACAATGTCCATGTGTTCGCTGGTTCTCAGTTCCATTCACTGTTTCTCCCTCTGTTTTAACACTTAACTTTAACTCCCCCCCCCCCCCAACCCCCCCCATGGATGAGCTAACCGACTGACTTGCTATAATAATAATAACCCGTGTATTTGATACAGCGCCTTGTCACGTCGTTGAGACGTCTCAAAGCGCTTCACGGAATATACTGTAACGTGGAGTGACTGTGTTTTGTGGAAGAAACGCGGCAGACGATTGCGCACAGTATTTTTGCAATCACCGTGTTTGCCATCTGTTCTCTGAGCCCGGGTGTGTGCACTCTCTCTCTGTCTCTCTCGCTCTCACTCCCCCCACCACACTCGTCCCCAAGTACTATGTATTGTTCAGTGCTTGGCAGCAGCTAAGAGATCCGCAGTGAGGGGTAGAGACTGGCTGTGAGGGGCAGCCTGGCCAGTGTTATCTACCTCCTCATTAACGTGCTTGGGATTTTACAGGGTAAAAAAGTCGCCCTTCTGATGAGACGTTAAACCAAGGTCCCGTCTGTCTGTTCAGGTGGACGGTAAAGATCCCCCGATGCCATTGGAAAAGAAAATGGAGTTTCTCTCTCTCCCGGTGTCCTGGTCGACAATCCCCCAAATAAAACTGGTCATTTGTTTCATGGCTGTTTGTGGGACTTCGCTGCGCGTAATTGTGCTGCCGCGTTTCGCCCGCAAAATACACAGTCACTTTGATTCACAGTAGTCCTGTGAAGCACTTTGAGATAATAATAATCCTTGCATTTGATACAGCGCCTTGTCACGTCTTTGAGACGTCTCAAAGCGCTTCACAGGATACACTGTCAAGTCAATTGACTGTATATTTGTGGGCGAAAAATTAATAACTATTGTCATTATTATAAATAATAATTATTCCCGTTAATTCCTGTCTCATCTCATTCTGCAAAGGGCTTGGAGTCGTTTCTCTCAGTGTGAAAGGCTCTGTGTGATGGTGTGCGTGATTCTCCACCTCCGATTCCTCTTACCTTCAAACCTGCCCCGCGGAGCGTGGACGTCAGGGGCAGTGAGTGGAGCGGGGACGTTAGCATGGGTTTGTAGCCACACAAAGCCCTGGCGCTCTTTTAATTTCCATGACGACCGGCTGTACGTAAACACAAACAAAAAAAGGTCTGTGGACCCGATATCCAGGCGGCTTTGATTTACCAGCGAGCCTGGCTTCTGTCAGCTGAAGGCACGGTTCTGGAAGCTATTTGTTGAATAAACCAGACTACAACAGTGTGGCATTGAGATAGGGACTGGACTCCATCGCGAGGTGGTAACCCCCCCCCTCCCTCCCTCCCTTCCCCACTGGGTGTAGGGTAGTGGTGAGGTGCTGGAGGCTGTATTGAGCGCAAGGCGAGTTATGTGCCAGAGGTCTCTATTGCTGGTGATCTGTTCCACAATCCACAAGCTTCTAGTTATTCGGAACTCCGCAGCCGCGACCTCTCCCGCGCCAGGCTCCGTGACCCCCATCATCACCCCCACCCTCGCCCGGCTTCCCTGGCACCCCATCCCTCAGGGAGATCGAGCTTAAAATCCTCATCCTGACTTTTAAAGCCCTCTACAGCCTTGCCCCTTCGCCCGACTGAAACTCCACCAACCCGGACTGCTCCGTGCCCCAACAACAACAACAGCTCTCATTCATTATATAATATTTATTGGATTGATATTTATGGATTATAATTGCTTATTATTAATGATTAACACAGATTAGTTATGTCACCTGAAAAAAAAAGGAACGGGTGTTGAGCGAGAGCTTTTAGCGTTTAGCGCTCAATTCAACACAGGGTAACTGAGCCAAATCAATGCTGTAACCTGGGGGCTCCTGCTTTTTTTTCTGAAGTGACTGTGATTTCTGGTGTTTATCCTCAAATGGGCGCCTGCCAGACACTCGCTACAGAATACCTGCTGTGTTTCTATAACACTGGGAGAGATGCCACTGAGCTTTAGTGAACAGTACTTGGCATTGCTGGAGAGGAACTCTCTGTCTCTCTCTTAAAAGGCTGTGGATCGTGGATCAAATTGAAATTGTCAAGACTGAGGTGGATCGATGTTTGTAGGTCAGGGTATCAAGGGATACGGGGCAAAGGCGGGGAAATGGAGTCGAGGTGTAAATCAGCCATGATCTAATAGAATGGCGGACCAGGCTCGAGGGGCTGAATGGCCTCCTCCTGTTCCTGTGTAGAGCAAAATGGTCCCCACACGCGCACACACACACAACTCCAAGAAATCTCAAAGCGCTTCACAGGACGAGTGTAAAATGCAGTGACTGTGGGTATTGTGGCTGTTAACTCTCCATTAGGCAAATTCTCCAAACTGAGTAACGCTCGGGAAGTGTCTGTGCGTGAGAGTGACGGGGAGAGAGGGGAGCAACGGAGAGTGGGAAAGATGGGACAGAAAGCGAATGAGGGAGCGAGGGAGAGTGGGAAAGGGGGCAGAGAAGGAGAGAGAGAGGGGAGTGAGGGAGAGAGAGAGGGAAAGAGGGGAGAGAGGGAGAGAGAGGGGGGGAGTGAGGGAGAGAGAGAAAGTGGGGAGAGGGAAAGAGGTTGAGAGAGGGAAAGGGGAGAGAAGGGGGAGTGAGCGAGAGAGGGAAAAGGGGGAGAGAGGAGAGTGAGGGAGAGAGGGGGAGAGGGAGTGAGGGGGGAGAGAGAGACGGGAGTGAAGGAGAGAGGGGAATGAGGGAGAGGGGGAGAGAGGGAATAAGGGAGTGAGGGAGAGGAGAGTGAGGGAGTGAAAGAGGGAGGGATGTGAGGGAGAGAAGGAGTGAGCAAGGCGTCGAGCTACATAAGCAAAGAAAAGTGCTCTCACAGGCGATGTGACTCACTCAGTCTGTCCCTGCTCAGATAATCCATGCTGCCTCTCCCTGTTGCCTCTCCCTGTATAACCCTGACTTTGACACGGCAAATACGACTCACCATGTGGGACATGTTAGGGAAATTGAAAAAGTATGATAGGAAAATAATGATTGATATCAACTCGACTGGGTTTCCATTGGCAGGTCTGACAGTTAATAAAGCAAAGATGTTTATTGTTAACCATTTAGGCTAGAGCCTGCGATGTGTGACTGTGCGACTGCGAGAAGGGGGGATATCCCAATGTGCTTTCAATTTGCCGTGCGTAAAATAATGTAAATCGTGCAAGATTGCATCCATCTGTACTGTGTCACCTACAGTAAAACACGTCAGCCGCAGACTTTGGCGTTTAGTGGGAGTCCCAACACTCCTGCTGTCTCAGACTCAAATGTTTGCCTTGAAACACGAGCAAGTACCCAGCGTTTCCGCCCCACCGAGGCCGGCTGTTAAAGGAACGTCTCGAAGGGCCGTGTTTCTTTCTCGTATACTGTAGACGTATAACAGGACGAGATTAATCAGTCACTCGTTCACTCTCTCTCTCTCTCACTCGCTCACTCACTTACTCATTTCACTGCTGTTTTGTGGGGAACGCTGCTGTGCAGAAATTGGCTGCTGGTTTCGCCACAACATACGCAATCACTGCACTTTACAGTCTATACTTTGAGACGTCTCAACGACGGGATAAGGCGCTGTATCGAACGCACAGATTATTATTTGAGACATCCTCCTGACGTGAACGGCGTTGTAATTAAGTGTAAATTGTACTTGCACCTGCGCCCGGTGAGAATCCGCAGGGTGTTACCCCCTGGTCTTGTTTGTTGTTGTTATTGCTGTTGTTGTGTTTTGATTTCGCTTCCAAGTTAAAACATCGGCAAAAAGGAAAAAAGGGAGAAACAAATCTCTTTCAATTTCCTTTGACGGCTTCAAGACTTACAAACACTACGTGGATTTGAAAGCTCGAGCTATTGGCCGTGGAGCCTAATCCTAATGGGATGCAGGTGTTTCGGAGATGCTTCTGTACCCAAGTGATGCTTTGAGCACCTTTGCCAACGTACACGCCATGTTTGAGATGATGTTTATAATAA